TATCCCCCCCCCCCCCCATATTATTTATTTAAATTATACACAGATTCTTTAATGATAATTTGTTTTTAATTTCGTACTGAATACAAGTAAATAAAAAAAAAAATTACTTATTATGGAATTTCAATTCCTACATAATTAGTTATGGAGGAATTTATGAATATGAGTATTGTTTATTTGAAAAAAAACGATACAATTGAATTTATTCTGAGGTTAAGAACATATGGATTGATTTCAATTATAAATTAGAGATTTATTAGATTACAGATTCCGGTGTGAGTATTATGCTTTGTGGATCTGCCATAGAAGAGAAACTAATGAGAAAAAAAAACATAGAATGTTAATATAATGCCTTGTATATCAAAAATCCAACTTTTATAAATGAATAACTTAATTATTTATAGGCGACAAATAGAATACTTCAACCAACGAAAATGTTCTGTGTTGTCTTTTAAGCACACACAAGTGTATGTGATCGCAAGTAATAAGTGAATATTTGTACAATTTGATTTATCGATTTCATAACGACTTAATTACTGAAAAGTTATCAATTTCATTATTTTACTTATTAGAATTAGTGTTGTTCGGTTTTAGAGAGTTTATTTTGATGATTTATTCTATTTATGAATTCGACAAAAAAAAATAGTAAAGAAGATTGAGTAGAAAAAGTTGTTTACAGAGAGATTAAGACATACAGTTGCGTCAGCCGTTTGTGTAATTCTATCCCATCTAATTATAGTTGTTAAGCATATGTAAGATATCTAATAATTATTTATAGGCGACAAATAGAATACTTCAACCAACGAAAATGTTCTGTGTTGTCTTTTAAGCACACACAAGTGTATGTGATCGCAAGTAATAAGTGAATACTTGTACAATTTGATTTATCGATTTCATAACGACTTAATTACTGAAAAGTTATCAATTTCATTATTTTACTTATTAGAATTAGTGTTGTTCGGTTTTAGAGAGTTTATTTTGATGATTTATTCTATTTATGAATTCGACAAAAAAAAATAGTAAAGAAGATTGAGTAGAAAAAGTTGTTTACAGAGAGATTAAGACATACAGTTGCGTCAGCCGTTTGTGTAATTCTATCCCATCTAATTATAGTTGTTAAGCATATGTAAGATATCTAATAATTATTTATAGGCGACAAATAGAATACTTCAACCAACGAAAATGTTCTGTGTTGTCTTTTAAGCACACACAAGTGTATGTGATCGCAAGTAATAAGTGAATACTTGTACAATTTGATTTATCGATTTCATAACGACTTAATTACTGAAAAGTTATCAATTTCATTATTTTACTTATTAGAATTAGTGTTGTTCGGTTTTAGAGAGTTTATTTTGATGATTTATTCTATTTATGAATTCGACAAAAAAAAATAGTAAAGAAGATTGAGTAGCAAAAGTTGTTTACAGAGAGATTAAGACATACAGTTGCGTCAGCCGTTTGTGTAATTCTATCCCATCTAATTATAGTTGTTAAGCATATGTAAGATATCTAATAATTATTTATAGGCGACAAATAGAATACTTCAACCAACGAAAATGTTCTGTGTTGTCTTTTAAGCACACACAAGTGTATGTGATCGCAAGTAATAAGTGAATACTTGTACAATTTGATTTATCGATTTCATAACGACTTAATTACTGAAAAGTTATCAATTTCATTATTTTACTTATTAGAATTAGTGTTGTTCGGTTTTAGAGAGTTTATTTTGATGATTTATTCTATTTATGAATTCGACAAAAAAAAATAGTAAAGAAGATTGAGTAGCAAAAGTTGTTTACAGAGAGATTAAGACATACAGTTGCGTCAGCCGTTTGTGTAATTCTATCCCATCTAATTATAGTTGTTAAGCATATGTAAGATATCTAATAATTATTTATAGGCGACAAATAGAATACTTCAACCAACGAAAATGTTCTGTGTTGTCTTTTAAGCACACACAAGTGTATGTGATCGCAAGTAATAAGTGAATACTTGTACAATTTGATTTATCGATTTCATAACGACTTAATTACTGAAAAGTTATCAATTTCATTATTTTACTTATTAGAATTAGTGTTGTTCGGTTTTAGAGAGTTTATTTTGATGATTTATTCTATTTATGAATTCGACAAAAAAAAATAGTAAAGAAGATTGAGTAGCAAAAGTTGTTTACAGAGAGATTAAGACATACAGTTGCGTCAGCCGTTTGTGTAATTCTATCCCATCTAATTATAGTTGTTAAGCATATGTAAGATATCTAATAATTGTTGAATCACGGGGTTGATAATATGTTTATGATCTCTCTAGCTTCTAACATTTTTTTCCAAGTTGACCTGATCACACGTACATAATTGAGCAGGGATATGATAATCAATCCAAATACATTTATATATCTTCATGTATCTGATCCAAGTGGGCAAACTAGATACATTGTCATTTTAGCCGCTAATCCATCCGAAGATGAACCCAACTCCCCTTAACCCACGTTCTATTTCTAACTTTCTTCTCTTGAGTTTCGTTAGCAATTATCCATTTATTTTATGGATCGTAAAACCCCAAAATAGTTGAGTATAAGATTAAAAAAAAAAAAA